GTGCGATAACTGCAAGATTGTAGGGCATGACACAATGGTTTGCAGAAGGTTTCCAAAGACTCAAAGATGGGTTCCAAAAAATGCACAGAGTGGTAGAAATCATGATAAACAGGATAGTTCTGGGATTTGTGTTCAAGGCAACACTAATCCTAGTTCAGATTCCACTCATAACTCTAAACAGGATAGTTCTGGGATTTGTGTTCAAGGCAACACTAATCCTAGTTCAGATTCCACTCATAACTCAGGAATTTTAAGAGAACATAAGCTTGTGCTTGAGTCTGGGAATATTAAACAAGATGCTGATCAAGTAAATATTTCTGATACTCAAGATGTTCACATTGTGGAAAATCTAGGGTCAAATCAGATTTTAATACCTGAGGTGCAAGTTACTCCTAAAATGGATACTCAGGGATATATTGTTGGTTCCTGCAGTAAATCTCCTAAGAATCCTGTGCATATGGTACATATACATTCTGGAAAAGTGGAGACTAGAAGCAAAGGTCTTCAAGATGTTAATTCTTGTCACTTGTGCAGAATAGCAAAGTCAGGAGAGGTCTATCCACAGGTATTCAAGATCCCTCTACAGTTGATAGAGGGGGGATGGAAAAATTATGAATTGGACTTTTTGGAATGTTAGAGGACTAAACAAGTCCTCTAAGCAACACTTGGTGAAACATTATATCTCTCAATACCATTTATCCTTTATAGGTCTGGTTGAAATAAAGATTCAAGATAATATGTTGCCAATAATTGCCAGGAAAATAGCTCATAACTGGAGATGGGAGGCTAATGTAAGAGATTCTGGTAAAGCTAGAATAATGATCCTCTGGGACCCTAATCTTCTGGATATTCAAATGATAAATCTCTCAGATCAGCATATTACCTGTTCTGTCAAATCTCTGGATGGGAGGATCAATTGTGTTACTTCTACAATTTATGGATATAATCAAGCAGTAGCAAGGAAGGAGCTGTGGTCTGAATTAAAACATATCCAACTTGCTATTGGTAACATTCCTTGGCTTATCAGTGGTGATTTCAATGCCTTGGTCAATAGTGATGAAAAGCTTGGGGGATCTACTTTATCTGAGGGTGACATAAAAGATCTCAGGGATTTTATTAGTGACAGTCACCTAAATCATCTCAAGTCTATTGGGTGTTTCTTCACTTGGAGCAACAAGCAAGATCCTAGTTCTAGAGTGTGGAGTAGACTAGATAGATCCTTGGTGAATGATTCATGGTTGCATAATCATAATTCTAGTCAAGTAGAATATTTGCTTCCTGGCTTATCTGACCATTCTCCAGGCCTTATCTCCATTTTTGATGACTTCAAACTGGGTAAAAGGCCTTTCAAATTTTTCAATATGTGGATTAAACATGAAAATTTCTTGCCTGTAGTAGCTAGCATATGGCAAAAAGAAGTTAAGGGATATAAAATGTTCTCAGTTTGGTCAAAATTGAAATTGCTGAGAGAATCCCTCAAGGAATTAAATAGGAAACACTTCTATAATATAGATGTACAAGTTCAGAGAGCAAAATTAGCTCTGGAAGAAGTTCAGGGAAAACTTCAAAGCAATCTTTTGTGTCCAAATCTCATTAACAGAGAAAAAGAATGTTTAGCTTTATATAACAAATTGCTGGATTGTGAACTGTCTTTCTATCAGCAAAAATCCAGAATTGCTTGGAGTATCAAGGGAGACAGATGTACAGATTTATTTCACAATATCTTGAAGGGTAACAGGCATCACAATAGAGTTTTAGCTCTTTATAAGAACAATGGGGAAAGGTTGACTGACAGTGATGCAATTGCAAAGGAATTTGTGTCATACTACAAAAATCTAATGGGGAAAGCTACTGATACTATAATTCCTGATATGAATGTGATCAAAGCAGGGCCGTGTCTAAATGATTCTCAAGCTAATCTCTTGCAAAGAGCTGTTTCCAAAGAAGAGATTAAAGATGCCATATTCTCAATGTCAGATAATAGTGCTCCTGGACCTGATGGGTTTGGTGCATGTTTTTTCAAATCAGCTTGGCCGATTGTGGGTGATGAAATCACACAAGCAGTGGAGGAATTCTTCACTTCAGGAAAGCTTTTGGGTACATTAAACTCAACCTCTATTACTCTTATACCAAAGGTACATTGCCCTAAAACACCCTCAGATTTTAGACCTATCTCTTGCTGTAATAGTCTTTACAAATGTATATCAAAAATCCTGGCAAATAGAGTCAAATCTGTTTTAGGCTACCTGGTGAATGAAGCTCAAAGTGCTTTCATCAAGGGTAGGCAAATAACAAGTAACACTTTGTTGGCCCATGAACTTGTTAAAAGCTACAGCAGGAGGAACATATCTTCCAGAATAATGTTAAACATTGATATAAAGAAGGCTTTTGACACCATAAGTTGGAATTTTCTGCATGAAATGCTCAAGGGGCTTGGTTTTCCAAAAAGGATTATTGACTGGATCATGGTGTGTATATCTACACCAAAATATTCCATCTCCCTAAATGGTACACTGCATGGTTATTTTAAGGGGGAAAGGGGATTGAGGCAAGGTGATCCACTCTCACCATATCTCTTCATTTTTGGTATGGAGTATTTGTCAAGGAGCTTAGACCTTTTAAAACAAGAGAAACAGTTTAAATATCATCCTAGATGTGGCAAAATGAAGATTACACATCTAATCTTTGCTGATGATCTATTGCTCTTTGGTAAATGTGACCTGTATTCAGTTAAGAAACTGTTTCAGTCTGTCACAATCTTTGGTAAAGTTTCTGGACTGGAAACAAATAAAGAGAAATCATCTATTTTCTTTGGAGGGGTTGAAGAGTCTGTAAAAGTAGCTATCAAAGATCATCTATGTTTGACTGAAGGATGTTTCCCTATTAGATACTTGGGGGTTCCTCTAGTATGCAAAAGGCTGTCATATGAAGACTGTAATTCTCTCTTAAATAAGATTACTAGCCAAATTCAAACATGGCAAAAGCACAGAAAACTCACATATGCTGGCAGATTACAAGTGATTAAGAGTATCATCTTGGGAGTTCAGATTTATTGGACTTCAAATTACTTATTGCCAATCAAGGTAACACAGAAGATAGATGAAATCTGCAGGAATTATTTGTGGGGGAGCTCCAAAATTCCCTTGGTATCCTGGGACAGAGTTTGTATGAGTAAAAAACAGGGTGGTCTTGGAATCTTCTCAGCTTCAGTTTGGAATCTTGCAGCTGCCTTAAAGAATTTATGGAATATTCATGTTAATAGGGAGTTAATGTGGATTAAATGGATTCATGGTACCTATCTGAAGCAAGGGGATATCTGGCATGTTAAAGCAAGATCAGGGGACTCTTGGATGTGGAAACAGCTTATCAAAGCAAGGGATAAGGCTTTACATTTCTGTGGAGGAGTTGGTAACCTAACTCAGTTGATTGGTTCTTGTTTCAGGGGGGGTAAACTGAAGTTATCTGATATATACCATGCTTTAAATCCAGCCACCAGTAAAGTCCAATGGCACAATACAATATGGGAGAGTTTATGCTATCCTAAGCACTCTTTCATTAGCTGGTTAGCTGTCAATAACAGACTGAATACTCAGGACAGATTGTTAAGAAGGGGAATAATAAATACAAATCATTGTGCCTTATGTTCTGATTCTTTTCAGGAAAGCAGAAGCCACTTGTTTTTTGAGTGTGCTTATTCTAGTGATGTTTGGAATTGTATAATGGATTGGCTTCAATTCTCTTGGAGGTCATGCAATTGGGAGTTATTGATAAACTGGTTCAGTTCAAGATTGAAAGGAAAAGGTATTAAACAAAGGGTTAAAAGAATGGCTCTTTCAGGCACAATTTATGCAATCTGGAATGAGAGGAATATGAGACTTTTCCAGTTAAAGAAAAGGTCAGTTGAGCATTTAGTTAAGGGTATTAAAGTGGACATAATGACAGTGTTGCTAAACTCAAGCATCTCCCCTGAAAAAACTGCCTGGATTCATTCTCTGTAGAACATGCACAGAAGTGCACGGTTGCACATGAATGACAGGCTCATATCTTCCCTAAGGATTTCTGAAATTTGTTTTGCATTTACAGGCTTTTTATTCCTGTTTGTAATTTCCATGTATTGGCTATTGCTCTGATTCTTGAGCTTTAGCTTCTCATTTTCTGGTATTCTCATATTGAGATCATTGATGTACATACAACTTTCATATTTGGAGATGAAATAAAATTTTCATTTACCAAAAAAAAAAAAAAAAAAATTTTTTTCGCTTTCTAATCACCTGGGGTTGGCAACCCTAGCTGATTAACTTCTAAACCCTAAACTGTAAACTACTGAGGGTTGCTCTGGGTAGATAGAAATCTCATGGAATTATAGTATTTACATTAATCGGGCAAACCCTCTTCACGTCTCTCTTTTTCATCCTCTCTTTCCGTCTCTTTCCCCATTAACTTCAAAGCCAATGAGCAATTTTTAAAGTTTATAGGTACTATCACTCTTGTTTTGTTGGATTTTTAGGAGTCGTCCGTTTGTCTTATAGATAATTAGGATGCAACAGTGGCTGGGCTTTGTGCCGAAAGCCCAAATAGTTATTCCCTTATGTAAGTTTCTATAATTTAGAATTTTGATTTTGTATTGGACAATGCATAATTTGTACAAATCATCTTGATCAGCTCTCCTGTCCTTAATGTATTTAACTGGACAACCTAGAGACCGAGTACCAGCAGCAGATATATTTGGTCTCTACTTACCTGACGATTGCAAAGGAAGATGGTACTCAAGGAGTGATGGCGGGAGAAGTAGACGGAAGCAGAAAACAAAGGAGGACGCACAAAGAGATCACTAAAATATTGTCCTGCAAGCTATTGTTGTACCATATGAAGTTTCTTACTACACGGGATTGGCAATCTCAGATACTTTATTATTAGACCGTTAGTTACCCCAGGTTTGCAACCTAGGTAATTAAAAAATAAAAATTTAAAAAAACAACCAATTTTCAACGCATTGCTGCTGTTGGCAAAAGTGATCATTTTTTGTAAATAAATGATGACTTAGACTACTTCATAACGAAATTAAAAAATGTTAGTTTAAAACATTGACCCTTGGTTTTGATGAAACAGAAATTCAGGATTATAATGTTACAAACATATACCCTTAAGCCTAGCTTCAAATTTACAGATCATTTCACAACTTGATCGGCACATGATTGACTTTTGATGAGGAGGCTGAAACAAATATTAACCCTTAAAACACGAGGCTTACAGGAATAGTGCCACGAACCTGAAGATCTAATCTTCCTCAATTTTTTGGAGGACCCTTCCACTTGAAATTGTCTGCATAGGCTTTTGGCTGCACCACAAAAAAAATAAAAAATAAAAAAAATTGAACCTCATGAGAGCTGCACGCTTATTTGCATGCTTATCTGACAGTAAACAAAGCCCTTATTGAAGTAAACCCACAGTTGGAACATCTAATAGTGTCACATTTAATTTTATCACTAAAAGTAATGTGCCATTGAGATCGTAATTGAACAAATAGAGGATAATTGAAAGAATAGTTCAAACATTAACAATGTTACCAATTTTTAAGAGTAGCATAAAATTATCAAGCAGAATACGCAGGACTACAGTAAATTAACTTCAGCCACATAAAAATGGAAATGGATTGCCAGGCATCTCTATCGGATGAAACACATATAGGCAACTAAACCAGCAATGAGATTTCCGTCCTTCAAAAAAAGCACAGCAATTAGATGTTTCTATTCAGAACTCATGTTTTCTAACATTTCGTCAGTTTAAACAGCATACGTTTCAATTTAGATAACATATACTCCAAGAGGTATTCAGGAGATCTGTAAGGTAAAAATGATGGAAGATAAAGAAGACAAAAATCATGAATAATAATTCTACGTAAACTAGACATTTTAGAGTTTACGACTAAAAAGGTAACATGAGGACATTCTAGATAAATAAATCGGAGCACCAAAACTGGGGTAGACAACTAACTGCATGTAACCTACTGAGAAGTAAGCCTTATTCCATAACTCGTGTATTTGCATGATGTCCATTACATTCTCCTCCGTGGCAAGGTTAACCCGTAGAAGAAAAATCCAGTGTTTCTAATGGATTGTAATATAAGCCTAATTAAAAAAATTATGAACGACATCAATATTTCAATATAATAACAGCCATCTATGCAGGTCTCAAAGTGCTCAAAAAATAACTTTGCAACAACACTGCTCAACCTTAAACTTCAGAATGTGATGTTTGAATGCTAAAACAGAAAAAAGAACTTATTTCAAGCAAGGTTTCAAGAACAATGTCTTAAAAAACTCAGTGTTTCATTCAAAATAAGCTCCAATTACTAAAATTAAACAGAAGACTGGATTTTGATGAATGAAATTGCTGATGACCCCAATCACGCTCAATTAATGTCAAAAACAACTTCCAAACAAGAAGTAAAGGCAATATTCGTCATTCTAAACAGTTACCGAAATGAGGACCTGAGATTCGTTAATCTAAAATTAGTAAGTTAAAGAAGTGGAAGTGTTAGCTTTATGAAGCTTAGTTTTGTGAAGCAAAATTCACCCCATTCAGGCCGATTACAGTACTTAAGAAAGCATGATGTCTCTGATATATTCCTCCTGTTTTAAATATGAGCTTAATACAATCAATGGTTAGGTGTGAATTCATTCATTGAACTCCTTGGTACTTTAAGCTAATATGAAGCTTCTCGTTGCCTAAATCAGTAAGCAGATACATAATTGCAGTAATGGGTCCTCGCATTGTTACCCAATGTAATAAATCGATAGTTAGCATTCAAACCGAATGAAGACATACAAGAGAATAAATCCATATCAACCTTAGTTCAACTGAAGGAATTGCTGCAACATGAGACTAAATGCATTTAATGGACAACCACTTACTCAATCAAAAATGCTGTCAAAAAGCAATAAAAGCTATGTTTAGTAAGGCAGTACGAACAGCTTCCCACTCTCTTTTAACTATTGATATAGTTTAGCATAAAACTACACTAGTTCGTATGTTAGTCAAAGTTTTGACTCTTCTATTACAAAAGGAAAACCTAGTTAACCCGAAACACTTCTGAACATTATCTCACAAGAAAGGAGTCCTTGCACAGATTTTATATTGCAAAAAACAAGTTGGTAATAGCAAAAGATTTGGCTATGGATCTGGGTAGATCTGAATAAATTCGACCTTAAATTTTTAGTTTCAATTATAGCTTTGAAGAATATCTTTTTAGGTGGTGTTTGTTTGGATTACAAAGGAATTGTTGTAAAATCTATCAGAATGCAGATCCCAGCAATAAAAAATGGTCAGAATCAAAATTGTGTGGCACATTCCTTTGTTCGTTTGCAAAGAACACAGCATGGAATTTATTGAAACACCAACAAAATGTAACCTTAAAATTCATAGCTGAAAGAGAGCAGTTGGAGAGCAAGAGTTAAAGGTCAGTCCTTTTGTGCCTTTACAAATTCAAGAGAATAATAACAATAATAACAAAATGATAATAATAACATGTAATCTAACAAAATTCAAAGGCTAAGTAGCACTTTACCCTATTGTTTCACCTACGTTTCACTTGCATACTCCCAATCGTAATTGCTAGCAAGATAATACCCTAAAGTTTTCTAAACTTGCACTTATTACGCTCACTTGCTTTTGGTAGCACTTATATACCATAAAGTTGTTAAACTTGGTACTTAAACACCCTAAAGTTTTTAAAATTGACACTTAAAATACCCTAATTTTTTTTAAACTTGCACTTAAATACCCTCAAGTTTGCATAACTAAGGGTAGTTATGTCACTTATGTGCAAGTTTTAAAAAATTGAGGGTACTGAAATGTTAGTTGTAAAAACATTAGGGTATTTAAGTGCCACGGAAAAAAAAGAGGTACATAAGTGCAAGCTTGAAAAACCTTGAGGTATTTTCTTACTTCCAAATACAAGTTAGGGTATATAAGTGAAAAGTAGGTGAAACAATAGGATACACAAGTGCTATTTAGCCAAATTCAAAAACAAATCTTAAAATTTTCAAAAAAAATTATGGAAAATAGTAAAAATTTGAAATTAAAAATCAAAAATTAAAGAGTTATTAAAAAAAACAAGAAAAAAAGATCTACCATTCTAAAATTTTTGAACTTCTTATTCTTGTATTAAACATTGTTTTTTTTAATACAATAAAGTAACATTTTATTACTCTGATATTTTCATTATTTAGTTTAGAATAGTACTTAATACTAACATAATCTATTTTCAATACAAAACCAATCATTAGTAAGACCCATAAATCACTTCCCGGTTTTATCACTCTCTTTAAACACAAACAACTCATGGAACATCTTTCCGTAACTTAATACTCCTTTTTTCCACAACCCAAACAAAAAGCTGAAAACTTGAAAAGTTGTAAATTTCTTTAGCTCTCTAATGTTATAAATCCCAAATAAAAATCCTGGAGCCAAACATCCCCTTGGAAACTACAAACATTGGAAAAGAAATTTAAAAGGCTCAGATAAGAGCTTAGCATTAGCAGTAGTATCCCCAGAAACTACAACTCCATCTACAACATATAAATGACTATTCACTAAATTATGGATTTAGACCAAAATTGTGTTTATCAATTGTTAGATATATTAGTATTTAGATCTAGTAGATATTATGAGATATTGTGAGATGTGATTTGATTTGATATGATTTTATCTCATACATATTTTGTAATATCCCTCTAATCTCTATTTAAGAGAGGTATGAGTTAGATGAATAGAAAACTTTGCCTTCTCTATTTCTCTACATGGTATCAAAGCCTACTCGATCCTAACAACTTTTCTCATATTTGTAGGTATCAAAGCCTACTCGATCCTAACAACTTTTCTCATATTTGTAGACATCGAGACTGTTGAGGGGGTTTTGCATGGCCTTCATGCTCCCCTTGGTGGTTAAGACAACATCTTTGGCGGCTTTAACACATATGATTTCTACATCATTTGTAAATCTTTATTGAACCTCAATAAAAAAAGCCCTACCTTGAACAACCCTAACCTTAAAAGGGGAAAATGGCAATATTTGTCAGGATGATGTTCATCGATGAACACTAACCCCTCGTGTACTATTCATCATGAACAATATCGCTCCTCATCTTCTGATGGTTGAATGCAAAAGTACGTAGTTGATTTTGACGTTACTTCTACTGGCTGACTCATCTAGAGTTTCTCTTTACTGGTTGACCCGCCTAGGGTTTCTACGGGCGTACCCACCTAGAATTTTTATTGGCTTACCCACCTAGGGTATTTATACTAGCTGTAACAACCGTGAATTTTGATACGTATTTAAATAAATTTTTCTAGAATTTAAAATGTTATATTATATTTTATTAATATTTTTCCTAATTTCTAGAATTTTCTGAGTTTTCAAAATAAATAAATAATAAAATATATAGTCTTGTATTTATTAATTCTGCTAAATATTAATTTATGGTTTAATGATTTTATATATATAATCTTTTGGTAGTATTATTAGTGACCTTGTTATTATTAATGTAAACCTGAGCTTAGTATATTAGTACATATGTAAATATATAAATATTTAGCTGTTAATTATTTATTAATGTTATTATTTGGTTAATTAACACCAACTCTCTCTTATAATTCGTGCTCTCTCTCTTTCTTACTGTCATTTTCTCTCTCCCCTCAACTCCAGAAAACCCAAACGAAACAACCCCAGCCACCGGACCACCGCCGCCTCCGCGTGATCCGCCGCCGCGACCACCCCGCGCTCAGCTCCGACGCTAAGCACACAACTCGCTCAACGCCATCGAACCGTTCGATGAGACCCCGAGGCAAGATCCCGATACTCTTTGACTTATCATCCAATTCTTAGATCCGCCCTGATTTAATTAGCTGCTTGCAAGATCCCTATTCTTGCTCAGTATAATTTTAGATTGATCACAAATTTATTATGCATACGAACTCGTTACCCGAATAATTATTCGTTACAAATACGGAACTGTCGTGAACATATTGGACTGAGAACTATAACGTATAGAACTATCATGAACGAAACGGACTGTAGACAATAACGTATGACCATTCACATTGTAATACATATACTGTGATGACCTGTACGGATTTATTTAACGAATGATACTAAAAATAATATTTTGATAATAGATACTGTAAAGATAAAATAAAATAAAATTATTTTAGATTAATTTATAATTTTAAAGAATTTTATTGACAAAATAATCAATTTAAAATAATTACTATTTTGGTGAAAAATCATTTTAGAGTAATTATAATAAATTAATAGAGTTGATTTGACAAAAGAATTAT